TTTTGTTGATCAATCTATTAGTGTTATATATGCGTTTAAAAATAATTTTATTATAAAAGCAATAATCCATTAGCAAGATGTTTTCGAAGGAGATGAGGAATAGTTTTCTTCGAAATCATCTATTGAAATATGATCGCTAGACTATTTCAAACAAATAGTCTATAATTTATAATGAAAACGTTAAAATGTTAATTTTATCTTTCGATATTTCTCTTATACAACAAGTAAACATAAGATCTTTATCCGAAAGGAATTCATATTTTGAAAATATTGTATCTGACAATGAACACAATTATGTAGAATAGGAAGAGAAAGAGAGAACAGTACACATGATACGAAGAAAGGATAATACCCAGATAATGAAAATAGTAGAAGAATCGAGAAGAAAGATAAACATGATAATGCAGCGGTCACCATACTTGTAAGCGGACAAAAAAATCAGGCGCCGCGTCCGACGAGAACGCTTTAATTATTGGCACAGAGATCGTTTATATTTTATTTTTTCTGCTTACTCTGCGTACGGTAAGTGGATTCTTTGACGAAAAAAATCGATGTTTATTATTTATCTTTTTCTCATAGATCAAGATCATCAAACTTTTTGATTGACTTCAATATGGAAGAGACAAAACTAGAATTAGAAAATAGAATACAAAGTAAGAATCATATATTTGTTTTTATTACATATATTAGGCACATTCTTTTTTGAAATTTTTATAATAATAATAGTCGATTTGAACAAGTAAGTTTAAATGAAAAATCTTCTGATTTTTCTCTTTGAAAATTGAACTATTTCTTTTTTTTTGTTTATTTCATCAAGAGATTCAATCACTCATTTTGAACATCTTTCCAATGAAGTCATTTATGAAATATTCGATTTTCTGGATTTTTTTCAACTATATAAAATTTTTTTCATTCTTAATATACGATTTCAAAATCTTCTTATTAACTCAAGTCAACCGATAAAAATCAAACTTCCATTAATATCGAATTCAATTTTTCATAGGTTTTACACACAGATTATCGTGCCTAATAAGCATCGAATTACATCGCTTCATTTATCAAATCCATTTATTATCCATCATGTTTTTTCATCAATATCTATGCCATCAAAATTTACTCGACTTGAAAATCTCATTTTTCATGGTATCAGATCATTTTTTCTTGATACAATTCTTCTGTTTTTACCTACCTTACCTTGTCTATCGTCATTAGTCATTGATTGTATAGATAATGATGAAAATAAAAACGCTGTTTATTATCGAATATTTCGTTTACCTGTATTAAAATATTGTAAATTATCATTAGATGAACCTTTTTGTCTTTCTTCATTACCTCGTGCTTCATTATCTCTTGCAACTACTAAATTCAGTTCTATTGAACATCTTATTATTACAAAATTATTGGGGCTCAACGAATTGAATGGTCTTTTATCATATGTTCCTAAACTTCATCGTTTATCGATTCATCTTTCGAATCGATTTTTTGAAAAATATCAACAACAGCATTTTATTCATTTGAATCATTTGACACATGTTTTTTTAAATATAACAGACATGGATTTCAAAGAATTTGAATTAATAATAAAAAATTTATTTAATCGAGTTGAAGTTTTATATATTACATTAAAAAATGATTCAACATATTTATATGAAAATCGATGGAAACAATTAATTTTATTTCATATGCATCATTTACGAATCTTTGATATTATGATTTCGTATACTGCAGACTCTTCTGAAGATATTTTCAACTCTATCTATCTAACTAATCATTTCAACTCTCAATTTTGGTTTGAACGAGGATGGTTTTTTGAATATCAAATTTATAATGACTTACTTGATGGTTTTATCTTTTATTCAATAAATCCATACAGGTAGAAATAAGATTTGTTTGTTCAAATGTTTTCTTTTTTCTAATTTTTAGAAGAAAATCTTACTCAATTTATGATGAAAGAGTCATGAGTACCTCTTCATTTCGTCCAAAATGTAACATAAATCCAGTTCAATTTATTAAAATTCAAGAGCAAGAAGAGATAATTAATTGTAGATATTATTTTCCAAATGCTATTGAACTTACTCTTTCATATTCTTATGAAAAAAAAAATCAAAACATTCTCTTAACCAGTTTTAATAATATTATTCCATTAAAACAACTTACTAAATTAATCATCCATATATGTCCTGATCGTTTTGTGGAAATAATTGAACTATTACTTTTATCACCTAATATTCATACTTTCGAAATTCATTGTGTATCACTTAAGTATTCAGATTTAATATCAATTGAAAATAGTGAAACATTTCAATTATTATCCAAAACAAATAATATTAAAGAAATTATTATTATGTTAGATTGTACATTGGAAATAACAAAATTTTTTGTTAATTTATGTCTTCGATTACAATATCTTACAATGAAAATTTCGAATAATAATAATCTTCAACTAGTTTTATCATTTTTATTCTCAAAAAATAATTATATTACACATAATTTGTTTTTATTATGTATTAAATCTATGTCTAATACTGAATTCGATATACTGGAGAACTTTATTGTATTACAGGAGCTCTTCGATGTCTATTTAACAAAAACAAAAGTTAATCGATACTATAACGATGTGTATTTATGGTGGTAAAATTGATTGTTAATAAATTGTTTCATTCTTAAATGTTTATCACTTTTTAATAAACAAGAAAACTATTATTATTACATTTTGTACATATCATAGAGTTAGATTACTGTATGTGATTATCTTAAAATTCATCAGCATATAAAAATTGTTGACTTGAATTTATACGATGATAAAAACAATAATATTAGTTAACATTATGACAATCCATGGTTTCATTTCGTGTTATTATTTTTTTCTTCTCTTAGAAATCTTTGAAAATAAACCTTTGAACTTAACAGAAATTGTTTTCCTTATATTGTTGTAAATATATTATCATCCCATTTCTAGTAGCAAAAGTATGAGTATGGTTATCATATGTTAAATAAAATATCTCATCAATGATTATCATGACTATATGACTTACAGATATATATCAGAGATGTCCATAGCGGCAGATTTTTTAAAAGTCATCGCGGCCGCGGCGCGGTAGCGGCAGGTTTTTAAAAAAGCCATCGCGGCAGTGGCAGCGTTTTTTTGGATGACATTGAAAAACTGCATGGATATAATAAAATTTCGTGGTTTACAAATGAAACACTCCGAGACTGAATGAATCTAATGGACTAGCACCAATATTTCTGGTCAAATGTAGTCGCAGCAGTGGAATTAAAACACTTTTTGGAAAACCGCCGCGGCGGCGGCACGTTTATTTTACAATTCATCACGGCAGTGGCGCGGCAACTTTTTTTTTGTAAGTCATCGCGGCGCGGCAACCTTTTTTTTTCTAAGGCCTCGGTGTAGCAGCGGCAGATTTTCAGCCACGATGGACATCTCTGATATATATCATTGCATGATTCTGTAAATCAACGCAAAACTAAAATGTTTTGTTCATTGAAAGAAGGTAGTTAGTTCAAAAAAACTAACACTATTAAATCTAGTGTAATGTTCACAGGTTGAAACGATAAACTATTCGAAAGAATCAACTTGTTCGAATAGTGTATGTAATTAAGGAAAAAAAACAATCCTTGTTAATAGAACAAGTCAGATAGGGTTTACTCATTTTATCAGAGCAATCTTTCGATTAGCCGTTCTAATCTAAATTCTAACAGAAAATTTGCTCTTAACTTAAACAAGAATTTGATCGAACATTTCTCATGCATCTATCAAAAATTTCAGATTGAATGAAAAGCCAGATATTTCTGTAAGGCTGTGAGTGTGAGTGTGGTGTGGGTATGGGGTGTGGGTGTTGGGTGTGGGGTGTGGGTGTGGGTGTGCGTGGGTGTATATGTAGATTTTCTCTTACCAACATCCACGCCCCATACCCACACCCACACCCACACCCCCACATCCACCCACTCACACCCACACCCACACCCACACCCCACACCCCACACCCACCCACACCCACACCCACACCCACCCACACCAACACCCACACCCCACACCCACACCCACACCCAATGCATGTTTAGTCAAGATATAGAATATATTAAAGTACAGCAAAACTAGTAATAGTAATAATCGTATATTTCTGCTTAGGAGGCCTGAAAAACCAAACCCTAGTAGGGTGTTTAATAACTCACTGAGGTCTATCGTTTGAGCATATAGTCGATCAAAAAGCGATTGAATACTGGGTGATGTTTCCTCGTCAGTCAAGAGATTGGTTCTATTATCTTCTTCAACTACTTTCTAATTTCCCAGACAATATTAAAATGTCCCTAGGTTCTTCTTGATTCGATTTTCATTTGTTTTATATGATTGTTATTTATTAATCATCTTTGAAATAAAAAACAGATGAATCAATGAAAAGTTTTTTTTGTATAATTGCGATATTAGTTACGTGTTGCAACTATGCTTTTTTGTTTTAAATATTCGTATCCAGTAATTGGGGCATATTTTGATTGTTGCTGTAGGCATTTTTTACATGGTAATGTTTGAATAACACAATTCAAATCTGGTCCACTAAAGAATAATACCGAATATCTTAATTGTTTTACTGCTGCAACACGATGTAATATAGATATCCAGTAATTATTTGTCCATCTTTCAATAAATTCACCGCCAACTAATAATAAAGTGTCTGGTTTAGATTCTACACGAAACCATGTTCGATTTACGTTCACTTCTAAACCTAAAAAATATACCAGCAATATTTCTTGGCATCAATAGAAAAAAACAGACTTCATTTACAAATATGCTAGACTTCCCTGACGAGAGAACGATCTCAAGTGTCCAATCACATTTCACATAAAAGTGTTGACCTTATATATAGTCGAGAAAACTGATTCCAAATATGTTAGTCGGAGCTGCCAATTGAAAATTGGAAAAACGGTTTTCCACTGTCAACATTTTTTTTCCAGACTTTACATCTGATCTGTTCAGGTTGTAAACTAGTGCTAGATTCATATCTGAAAAAGGCTCTAAAAGTCTGACAAAATTTAATAGAATTGATTTTCTAAAAATAATTAGAAAATGGGAGAAAATGTTATATTTCTGTTTCCTCGATCTTCTGAAAAATTTATCTAGATACAGTGTTTTTTTTCTCATTTCGACCTAAAAGCAGCAGAAGTTTTCTTCGTGTACATACCTGGTACATTATCATTTTGTATTAATGTAAATCCAAGAAAATCTTGATGTTCTCCGAATGCTAATTGTTCCTCATTTTTCGTTGGTAAATATTTAGTTAATCTTAAACTAAAAATAGCATTATCATTTGTATAATTTTTATCAAATGTATTTTCATCTAATTCCAATGCCATATCAACAATACTATGAACATAAGTAATTAATTGTCTTGCTTTTAATATATAGTCTGGTATAACATCACGAAATAATTCAGGTAATTGATCAATAGAAAAATTGAATTGTTTTGATTGGGATTTGAAAATGTTATAAAAAACTTCGACAGAATCGGAATATGATGCTTTTTTTTGTCCCTTATAGTTGGCAACAGACTCTAATCCTGTTGGTTTATATCCAGGTATTTCATAATATGGACCATTTACATAATATTTCAGTTTTGTTTCCAAATTTAATGAAAAAAATTCTTTTGATTTATCTATTAATTCTGATGTAATATTAGTATTCATTAATCGAATAATACCATATTCATGAAAAGTTTTATCAAATAATAATGCAATTTCTTTTTTCTCTTCATTTGTGCCACTTATAAACTTTGACATATCAATTTCATTGATATTTAATAAACACATATCATCACATTGATTTTGATGATTATCATTATCAAACGTATGAACATACATTATAAATAGAAAAATAATAATAAATTTCATATTGAACAGTCCAGAAAGAAATAAATGTATCTAAATCATGAACAATGAAACAGAATCCAGTTACGTTTTTTAGAAGAATAAACTATACAAAGACGAGCATTTTTGTAGAGACATTAATGATATAAGCATACATTATGAGAGGGCCCCTGAGCTCATCAAGAAATCACGTCACTGTAACAGTTATTAATCGTTATACTTCACTTCTCTCCCTTTCTCTATATGACTTCTTCCTTAAAGTGTTGATCGTGACGATGACTGTTTCTCTTCCTGTTCTTTTGTGTGTGATTAGTATATAATCGTGTATTCGTAGTGATATAGATACGAGTGGAGTGATGAAGTAGCTCAATAAACATCATTAGCAAGGGTAGCGATAGAGCTACCTCTCCAGTCCGTCACAGTCACTTTTATGGCCCTTGTTTAGAAACTCTGTCGCCAAATTTGTAGACGAAAAACTTTTTCGACCGACATATTAGATTTTTGAAAGCAGACTATTTTCAATTTTCTCAAAAACCAGGTATCTCGTATTTCCCTTGTTTCTCAGTCATTTCACAATCGATCTTTTTTAGCAATGTCTCATTTGAAACAGTGGGAAAATTTGAACGAGATGTGATATTTTTCACGTCTAGAATATCATATCTAGGGTCAAGAATATGAAAAAACTCCGAATATGAAACATCAGTTTCTGAATATTT